GCCTCCATGCCCGGCCGGGGGTCCTTTAGATTAGCATTAACATGATGCATCTTCCAACCTTGTCTTTTTAACATATTTGGATCTTTACTATAAAAGTGGGCTTCCTGTAGGTAGTATACAGTCAGGTCTTGCTTTTTGTCTAATTTGACAATTTCTGCTTTTTATTGGTGTATTTAGACCAGAGATCAACTAGCAATACCCTATAGGCCAAATTGGCACACAGCTTATCTTTGTATGGCCTGTGAGCTAAGAATGGTTTTTACTTTTTTAAAAGGGTGAAAAAAAAATGTTTTTAATAGGACCCAAAACCCTAACATATTTACTATCTGGCCTTTTCAGAAACAGCTTGCAGCCGCTGGTGTGGACTGTTTGGTGTCACGTGGCAGCGCACATGGCAGCTGACATGGCTGTGTTTAATCCACCGTCTTGCTGTTTCTCTTTGTGTCGTCTGTTCTTTTTCTCCCTTTCCCTGCTGCCTTTGTATTTTTTTACCTTTTTGACTAGTTCACTAGCTATAACTCTGTTTTGGACTCAAAGAAGAGGAGGGAGTAGGAAGCAAAAAATACTTAAACAATAACCAAAAGTTTTCCAAATTTTATGGAAGTGATAAATCCTCAGAGCCAAGAAGCTCAAAGAACAACAAGCCTAAGAAACATAAAGAGTCTGGTTTTCAGTGAGCTGCTGAAAACCAGTGATAAAGAGAAACCTCAGACACAGAGGAAGAGGAGAAATGTTACGTGCAGAGAAACCAATATAAGGATTTTTACTTTAGTTTGTAGAATATGTTTTTAATGTATCACCAGAGTGGATTTCCCTGTCCCTCCTTTCTCTGTGCTGTGAATTGTCCTACCTGCTACTTAAGCATGTGTCATAAATCTCCCACTGCAGTGTTATCGTTTGTGTTTTAGTTTATCAATTATCTCTTTAAACACTTACAGTTAAAGATTTTATAACTGGATATGTAGTTCTCGTTTCTGGCGTTCATCGTTCATCGTTCCTTTGTGTAGATACGGTTTCCCTCTGCCCTCCCTTTTTTCTGCTTACCCACATCTGGGTATGAATTCTGTCAGCTTGTGTAATCTGAAAACATCTTTAGTTCATCTTTAATTTTGCACGATATTTTTGCTGGGTATATAATTCTAGGTTGCCAGGGTTCCCCCACCCAGTACTTTAAGATGTGGGTTTACTGCCTTCCAGCTTGCATTGTTTCTGATATGAAATCTTCTATAATCCTTATCTTTGTTCCTCGCTACACAATATTTCTTTTCTGTCTCTCTCTCGCCTCTCACTGCTGTTCAGATACTCTCAGCTGTGCCACAGGTTCAATGGTGTGCTCCATGTATGTTTCTTGTGCTTGGGGTTTTTTTGAACCTCTTAGATCTGTGGATTTACAGTTTCCGTAACATTTGGAAAATGTTTGTTATTGTTTCTACAGTTATTTATTTTCTTTCACTCCCTCCTCTCTTCTGAATATTTCAATTACATGATTTGGCAGCCTGAAGTTCTCTGCAGCTTCTGATGTTCTCTTCTTTTCTTTCTTTTGGTATTTTTTTTTTTTCTGTGTATCATTTTGGACAGTTTCTACTATTTTGTTCTTAAATTTACTAGTCTGTTTTTCCAAAGTGTATAATTTGCTATTAAAACCATCTAGTGGGCGGCACCTGTAGCTCAGTAAATAGGGCACTGGCCACATACACCCAGGCTGGTGGATTCAAACCCAGCCCTGGACAGCTAAAAAAGCAACAATGACAACTGCAACAAAAAAATAGCCAGGCGTTGTGGCAAGTGCCTGTAGTCCCAGCTACTTGGGAGGCTGAGGCAAGAGAATCGCTTAAGCCCAAGAGTTTGAGGTTGTTGTGAGCTGTGATGCCACAGCACTCTACCAAGAGCAACATAGTGAGACTCTATCTCAAAATAAATAAATGAATAAAACCATCCAGTGTATTTTTCATCTCATCTATTGTAGTTTTTATCTCTGAAAGTTTGATTTAGGTCTTTAAATGTTTTCTATGTACCCATTTAATAGGTTCAATATTTCCTCTAGCCTAGTGAGTGGAATATAGGTATAATTTTTCTATTTTTAGTATAAACAGGGTCTCTCTCTTCCTCAGGCTGGTTTTGAACTCCTTAGCTCAAGCATTCCTCCACCTTGGCCTCCCAGAGTGCTAGGATTATAGGCATGAGCCCAGCCTATTTCAAGGGATTCTTACTTTCTTTATTAATACTTGACTGTATTTTGAAGTATCATTGTCTTTGCACTAGACATGTTTTCCTTTCATAATTATATTGGTTAAAGTGTCTCCATTGACAAAGTAAATTTTTTTTTAAAAAAACAGGCAAATGTCCTACTATGGAAAGACATTTTCAACATAAGAATGTTTTTGCTGTATAAAGGACTCTTACAAATTAATGAGAAAAAGACAGGTAACATACAAGACAATAAATGAAATTTTTTAAACAGTGTTCCCACAAGTAATCAAAGAGTTGGAAAAATTACAAACTTGGATTGAGGACCATCATTCCTGTATTTTCCTGTGCCGGAGAGGGCATGGGAAGTGGGCGTTCCCGCTGGTGGGCTCCTTACCGGCTCAGTCTTTCTCATGGGCATATTATCAGTATGTATCAGGACACTTAAAAGAGAAAATGCCATAATTTTACTTTTAGGAACTCTTGCTAAAAAAGTTAAGAATATAATCAAAGATTTAGGTACAAGCTGTTTCTTATGCCAGTGTTCATAGGGGTGGAAATATTGGAAACCACATAAGTAGCCATAAATAGGAGATTGTGAAACAAATTGGTACATCTATAATAAAAATAGAAAAGTTGACAGTGAGATGATATGAAAAGATTTTTCTCATATGTAATGAGGCCTATTTTCGTTTTCCAAGTAAAGCTTAAGACGCCCTACTCCTGAATGGGGCAGATAAGCCCAGCGTAGAGAAAGGTACCGATAATCCCCAGACCAGCTTCAAGAAGTCACCTCACCTTTCTTCCTGGTTAGAGTTGATTTAAGAGTTTCTAAGAAGTCACCAGATGAAAACAGAGTTTGTATGCAGTATGTACTACAGAGTACCACCTTTGTTTAAGAACATTAGGTATAGAGAAAGATTACACCCTAGAAAATGAATATTATTTCTGACTGCCGAATTTATAGGTATGTTTTTACCTGTATCTTCACATTTTCTACCATAAATATGCATTGCCTTTGTAATAAGAAGAGTTAGGGTTATTTTTGGTTATTTAAAATACTTGTTAAATATTTGCCTTGTCCTGCCACAGGCCAGAGAATGGCAGAGTTTGCCCTACAGGGACAAGCACGGAATGCTTCAAGTTTTGCAGACCAGATGGTCTCTACTGCACTGTGCCACTGTTATGTCACAAAAATAACCACAGATAATATGAAAATGAGTGAATGTGGCTGTGTTCCAATAAAAGTTGATTTTCAAAAAGAGATGGCAGACGGATTTCACCCGCCAGATGTCATGTGCTGACCGCAGCCATAGCACTTGGGGGTCGAGGTTAGCTGCAGGCCACATCCCTCTGCCCTCAGGGCTGACTGGCCCTCTTTCATTGCTTTTTTTCTCAGCGTACTTAGAAAAATCATATTATAATGGAATCCCCATTAGCAAAAAACCATATTCTCTTTGCAAAGTGATTGAGTCTGTTTTTCCCTCATTTTCAAACCGTGCTTTGAGGCTCAGCACCCATAGCACAGTGGTTAGGGTGCTAGCCACATGCACTGAGGCTGGCAGGTTCGAACCCAGCCCTGGCCAGCTAAAAAAGCAACAGTGACAACTGCAACCAAAAAATAGCTGGGCATTATGGTGGGCACCTATAGTCCCAGCTACTTGGGAGGCTGAGGCAAGAGAATCACTTGAGCCCAAGAGTTTGAGTTTGCTGGGAGCTATGACGCCACGGTACTCTACCCAGGGTGACATAGTGAGACTCTGTCTAACAAAATAAAAATGAAACCATTCTTTGAAGGCCATCATTGCCTTGTTATTTTTACTTTTTCTTGCCTTAATCAGAAAGAATCCTATTTGGCAGTCCTGCAGATCTGGAGCTTTAGTCACAGAAAAATTAATCATTTAGTGGCATCAGTAGCTGATGCCCAAATATTCATTTCTGCAGTTAAATATAGGGAAAGTGGGTGATGAGGCTAATTCTCTTCCTCTTTCCAAGTGAAGTTTCAGATATCAACCCCTAAAAGGGGCTGTTTAGCCCAGTATAGGTGAAGTAAATCCGATAAGCCCCAAACCTGCTCAAGAAATCATCTCAGCTTCCTTTCCTCCCAGTTAGAAGTTCTTTAAGAGTCTCTAGCAAAAGTCCCAGGGGAATGTGGACTGTTTCTTTGTCACCCGTGATGTCCCAACTTTAGATGCTGTGACCACTCCTGGTCACAAACATGGACGAGAATGGGTCAGGGGAGGGTCACCTGGGCCATCTGGCCTGGGTGGTCTGGAACCCATTAGGACTGTGGGTCTGGCTGATGTGAGGACTCTGTCTATTGTCAAATGTACCTTATGGCGTGGGCTCAGGTTGACAACCAGGGAAAACGTCCCCTGACTCCGAGGCAGGTCCATCTGAGCTTTCCAGGCTAGCATCTACTCTTTCTAGCCTGCCTTCCTCTCTCCACGGAAGCAGCACAATCCACGGAACAGCTACCACCAGGCGCTGTGCTCTGCTGCCACCTACACAGCATTGCAGCCCTGCCAGCCCTCCATGACACAAAGGGTGGTCCCGAGTGTACCCTTCAGCACGTCCTGTCCACCACACTGTTGTTCTGGGGTGCAGGGGATGGACCCCTGCAGCCACACTTGGGCTGAGTCCCTGAGTCTGAGCCCGTGGAACCCGGTGCCACTTGCCTGAGGTTCAGTAGGCCAAGATGTCATCTGTCTGTTGGGCGTGGAAAGGCACTAGACCAAGATGTCATCTGTCTGTGGGGCGTGGAGGGACACTGCTCATTTCACAGCTCTGGATTTCCCCTTCTGTCTCCTCAGAAATTGCAGGTGCACCGGTGTCTGAAATTTCCGGGCCTTTCTCGACAGACGACATAGCCAGCAACTGTGTCCCCGCCCAGTCTTTGAATGAGCCCGTTCTGTGGATCGTCTCCTACACCCTCATGAGTGTGTGTGGCCTCATCCTTCTCATCTTAATCATCCTGCTGCTCCTGCCCTGCCGGTGTCCGCACCGTCCCCGCGATCCTGAGGTCGTCAACGATGAGTCCTCTCTCGTCAGACATCGCTGGAAATGAAGGGCTCAGTTTGACCTCAAACAACCTTGAACTCGGCTATTAAGCTAGCTACGTTTCAGGGGCAGCAGGCCTGGGAGAGAAGCAAAGCTTCTTCCTGTGTCCGTCAGTCTTCAATCTCTATTCTGCCCCCAGATGCCTTCCAGATTCACTGTATTTCGATTCATGCATTTAAAGCTTCCAATTCTTCTTTTCTACTTCCAAGAAAAATGGTAATAAACACCTCGTTCTCAACCAAAACAGAGTGAATTGGGATGTAGGCTTACTGGGACCGGTTATAACTGACCGTTCAGGTGTGCCGCTCAAACAAGCAAAAGCCCGACAGGCCTTGGCTGATTCTCTTTTCTCTTTAATCTCTGGAAGAAAGAGTTCATACAGCTGATAACCCCTCTTACTTGCTTTTGTGCTAATTGCGTTTAAGGGTAGTCAAGAAGGCTGGAGATGGCAGGAGAAGCGGCCCAGGGCCTGATCACGTGACCGTCCTGCCCCTCTGAGTCAGTGTGGGGTGGCCAGGCCCTTTGTGGGTCTGTCTGCTCCAAATGGGAGCTGGAGTCCACTAGGAGGTCATCGCCCAGTGGTCCTCACCAGCCTCCCTAAAGGCCTCCTGCCTGCCCAGGCAGAATGGAAAGAAAGGAGACCTGCTCTTTGGTGCCCAGAACTTCTGAGGTCTTGTTGGTGTGAACCTGAAACCTACCTCTTTTGAGACTTTGCTCAGGGTCCCATGCCTGGGCGGGGTCTGGGCAGCCTGATCACAGCTGTCTGCCCTCACCCCAGAGTCCTCGTCCCAACAGGTGAACATAACAGGTGCTGAGCGGCATGTCGACTCAGAGGAGTCCTGTCACCAGGCTGGTCATGGTCACAAATGCTTAACTCTTTCTTAAAATTAATAAATAGTGTTTTCAGGAGGAAAACAAATTCTATTTCATTAGCTGAGCTGTTTTTTCCCCCCCAGCTCTTCTCTGTAGGTAGATTAGGTTATTGCCCTGCTAGGAAATAGGGAAATGGCTAAATGACTGTACTTCTGACAACCCCCAGTAAGGGGACCCAACACAGGGAGAGGATATGGCAGGAACTTCTACTGTTTTCCCTGCTTTGAAGCCGCCTGTTTCCCTTTGCAGGACCCCTGAGGCTCAGCCACGCCCGCCTGGTTCAGCAGTTTATACCTGGGTGCTTCTTCCCTTGGTCATGGTCCATCTCTGGTGACAGGTGTGCAGTGGCATTCTTACCTGGGGAAACCCCAACTTTCTGTCACTCATAAGATGCCTTTGCCAAAGAAAAACAAAAGCCTTTAACGCGATGTAGCCAGCCTTATATGTTCTGATGTAATTAGGAGAGGGTTCAAAGCCACTATCTATCCTCTTGATTGTGTGCCAAGTTCAGTGCTTGCAGAGCTCTGCTGTTGGGGTGGGTTGGATATATGATGAAATTGCACCAGGAGTGCTGAATGTGCTGAATGCCCCCTCCTGCGGGAGTGCCGCTTGTGTTTGTGACAGGCTGTGTGTGGATGATTCAGCTCGTTGGGTCCCCGGGTCACCTCTGTGTTGAGAAGTGCATGGCCATGCCAAAGAGACAGGGAGGCCGCTCAGGCTGGCATGATGATCCTGAAAGATGCCCAGCAGCCAGAAGATCTTCTCTGCGCTTGTACTGAGAGATTTGCCTTATACCTGGGAAGGAGCCTGCGGGGCTGGCAGGGGAGGCGGGTTTCTGTGGGCGGATGCCCGTCATCATGTCCAGTGTCAGCTCTGTGAGAGCTGACTTTGTCATCATTTCAAACTTCAGACCCAGAAGTCTCTGTGAGTCCGAGTCGCTCCTTGTCCCGTTAGCGTTTCCGGCAGCCCCTCTTTTGTGGGCTCCATTGCATAGACATGAAGCCAGCACCCCGGGACTGTGCCTTCCCCTTACTCTGAAAAATGCAAACCCCTGAAATAAAAGGAGGAGTCGCGGGGCGCCGGGTTGGTTTCCACTGACTGCTTCGCACGAGCATCTTCTGTTTCACTTTATTACATCAGGTTTCTGAGGTGGGACGCTTCCTACCTGGAGGATTAGCAGATACTGCTCAGAATACACCAAAATACCAAGTTTCATTTCCAGACAGGGCGGTTGATGGAAGTTCGCTCTCATGTTCTGTGTTTCATATCACATTTCTCTACTTTTTCATCTCAGATGTCATTGGATGTCACATTTTAATGAAAATACTTAAATTACAAAAGCATAACTCTGTGACAAGAATGAAGTAGACAATTGAACACAGGATGCTGTCCTGGCGTGCCTTGCCATGGACAATTGGACTTTGGGCAAAGCCCTGTTAGTGACACCCACCTGCTGCAGTGACGGAATCGGAGCTCAGCGGCAAACCTTCAAGGCAGGCTTTGGTCAGGAAAGGAGGCAGCAACCAAGTGAGGGTTTACACTGCAGAACGTGCTGCAAGACGGGCCTTGCCCCAAAGGTGTGACTTAGCGTGAGGTAGTCGTCCGAAAGCGTGTCCACTCTGATGAGGGATGGATGCTTGCACAGGAACTGTGCTGTTTCAAACAGGATAAGGCTTTATACTCTCGATAACTTCTCCGGAAGTGTGAAATGAAATCCTGCCTTCAGTCACTGAAACAGTTTATAAGAAACAGGAAGAAATGAGAAGAAGAGTGACTCTGTTTTTTCTCAGGAAATTAAAAGAACCCCAAGTGATTGTCATCAAATCTCC